TATGGTAAATCTAATTCACTAAGGGATACTGACGGTGTTTTGCCCAAAGATTTAAAGTTCTCAAGCTTTTAATAATAAAAATTTGCCTTTTTTATAAGAGATGTAAATGGTGAATTCTCTAACCAATGTAAATGATTTACATTTAAAGTACTTCATTCAAGCCTAACGACAACCAACTTTATTTTTCACAAGTGTGGGTCTCTTTACTTGGTCTGCTTTTGACAGACATTCCTGACTTTCAGAACTCTCCTCTAATTCTAACCCTCTTTTAGTTCTTCGATATGCTACAAAATCTTTATTTTCTGCTAATCTGTTACGCAATTTTGTTCATTTAGCATTTTGATGCTTTCTCGTACATGCAAGGAGTCATACCACTCGGTGAAAATACACGTATTGGACACATGTTTGTGTAGGGCCAAACTCCTCGGTCTCCACTTCCCTGTTCCTAGCGTTCTTAAAAGAGCCCGATTGATACAATTTGAACATATTTATTAACGAGGAAAAGACTGAGATGGAAGTACAACGTTTAAGAAGGGGCGGAACCGCAGTCATTAGGTACGGGAGAGGACGATCCTGTCACGAAATTCGTATTTCCTGATTGCCTCCTCCCTGAAAGGTACATTAAATTAATATAAGTATTACATTAGGACTTGGGAGTACTGGCATTAAGTTGAGGCCAGCACATTTGGCGAAGGTGCACTGATGGGGCATCCAAAGATCCCCTTACAAAAGCCCAGAATTAAACAATTAGCGCAGCTAATCTTGCGTCATTTCGTAACCCCCTTGCCTACATCCTTTCTTGAGTCCCCGATTTTGATGTGTGATGAGTGGAGCGCATTAGGCACTGTAGTGTAGATATTTGGTACATTTTTATTTGTTTTATGAACGAGGCGATAATTTGAGCTTTAGCATTTGTACTTTAGCTCTACAGTATGGTCTTTGCGCTATGCCAGTTGCCTCCCGATTCTGTGCCTTAGTGGTCTGTTCTCCCACAATCCTTTGTCTGTGTAAGACTTAGAGATACCGCATTGTGCTGCAGTAGTATCGTGAATTCATACAAGCCATCTAATTTCCGTAGGAAAAATCGAAATTTTTTTTCCTTTTGATCCACAGGATCCCGGCTTGCCACATAAAATGTGCATTTGCGCAACCATGCATTACAGTATGAATAGAATGCGTTTTCAAATTAAAGCTAGTCACTTTTGCTTCTGCCCTTGCGGTCATGTGTTGAAATTTTGCTATCTTGTTTCCGAATAGTCTATTCTTGATAACGCCAAATGTGCACAGATTGTAACGTTAGGAAAAATAATTAGCGGGGATAATTCCGCCTTATACTTTAATAATCGTTTTTCTTCTAAATTGAAAGGTATGTGAATTGCTGAAACAAATCGCATTTTTATTACAGCGAACATGGTCGATGCAGTTTGTGCTCTTGTCTTGCCTAAAGCACCCAGACCCTGCTGCACGCTTGTAATAAGCCTCTCCTTTGGTGCAGCACAATGTACTTGTTGTTGAAGGCTTGTGTGAACAGTTCCTGAACATTCTTCTTTACTTAAGTAATCAGTTAAAGGTTTTAACGCCACCATCCTACTATCAGTCCTATTTTATTAGTACTTTGAAGATTTTTAATCGGCATGACAGCAATAATGAAACCAACTAGTGACAATCTCGTTTCCGATTTGGAAAAATACGGTTGTCAATGTTCATACTCATTTGCTATATCTTAAAGTCGACACTAGGTATGTGAGGTTAATCATTGACTTCAATTCTTAATTGACTCAATTCGTATGTATGTCCGCTCGGCTACACACGTCGCAGAAAAGGAGTACAAGGAAAGTAGTGCTACCAGCTTCAACTTTGAAATACGCTTGTACCAGTAAATATCAGGAACCCAAAAGCGACTGGTCAACTGCAAATATTTGGTTTGTGCAAGTGCCTCCCAAATCTTCTATTGTACCTACTTGCAGCCAATTAAACCTTACACTCTTAATTACAAAGCCATGCTCACCCGTGCAAACTTAGCTGAGGCATTTGTGAAATAGTGACCTGCTTTTTTTTAGAATAAACTAGTCATTTCCCCGGGTTCGTGAACGCGTCATTGAATTGTCAGTACTGGCACCCAGAAGGGTCGGTGTTAGTAACGTCTTTGACACCAGCCTATGATTCTAGGCACTACTCACAATAAATGCTAATTTTAATTACAACACTATCCTAGTTTCAAAAGAACTTTTTAAAACAGGTTCCAAGTGCAAGTTATCAACTATCTGTGTGTGTACTAACAGAATGACTTTGATATCCTCCACCGACAAATGTGCGTTCGCACCATGATATCTGATGGGAGACACTTATCACCGAAAAGTAGCTGTGGTAAGACTCCAGGGCGGATTGATAAGGCGGTATCCATTTGCTTGAATATGCCTTTTGGGTGAGAAGCGTTCAGTGAACAGCGGGCGCAACAGGCGTCATCTACTCCCCTGGGGGAAGTGCACCGTAGCGTGCGTTTCCCCGACCACTATCCCCTGTTCACATTACCAATCAAGAATCTCTCTAACTAATCAATCTACTTGTTCCAGGGGAATAAAAGTCAAGGTGGAAGAGATAAGTGGCGAACGTAACACAAGTGAAAAAAAAATACATCCTATCTTGTCGGCCCTCAATACCCCCAGAATCAAGGTATCACCGCAACGAAGTCTTTCATGTGTGTGTGTAGTTGTAGTACGACTTCTTTTAAGAAGTCGTACTACAACTGCGAAGACATTCAGTCCGCTCAGAAGTGTAATATCATTCTGTTCGGTGTTTGAATTAGCTACCGCAATCATTACTTAAGTAATCAAATTCGCCTGAGGTTTAGTTTCAAATAAATGCCTGCAGCACAGAGGAGTCTAGGTAAATAAGGACAAAAGTGGTACCAGTTTTCGGACAGAATTAATAGTTTCAAACTCGACAAGTCAACAGCGCGTAAATAAATCATACGATGGTGTGAGCACAATTCGTAAGACCTGCGTTCAAATAATTGCTAGGCATGCAACTCCTTGAAAGAATTTGACGGCATTATGATAAAATTAGGGCAAGGCACGGCCTTGACCAACGCTCGAACAAGGCGATGTTTTGTACATAGAAGGCAAGGTCAGCAACGTGAGAAGTGGAACTAAGCTAATTTTTGCGAACTGATAAATCCAATACTGCTTCATGAACACAACACAGTAACTAGATAACATGGCCTCCCCTCAACTAACAATAATTTAGACAATAGAAATACTAGACGAGGCAATCCCCAACAAAGTGATACGATTCTCAACGTTGGGTTTGGACCAAAAAGGGTCCGGACTAAGCGCAGGTACTAAAAAGGGCATTAAAGCTCCTGCAAATTACAAAGAGAAGTGGCTGCAATTATTCAACACGACCAAGTCGTCAGTGGCCTTTACAAGTTGCATGTCAGCCGACAAGGCTTCTCAGGCATGCACAAAGTACCAACACGTCTACCGATGAGAACGCACGCTAGAACCAAATTGAAACAAAAAAAAAACAAATACAGAACGCTAACGGCACAAAAAGCAACCATGGAAACGACAGGTACACAACCTCTTCCCCCATGTTAGTACCAAGAAGTATTAGAGTTCGTGTTATTCACCCCTACACACTTTGTCAATATTAGCCAAAACACCCCAACTACAACGGTTGATCCAAACTGCAGATGTATGAACGAACGTCCGCGTGAGTAGCCAGGTACGGCGTAGGATCCCCACAAATCCATACATGGGTAAACAAATCAACAGGGGAGGTACAACACCTCCAGAATATATTACAAAGATTGAAAAAGGTGGGTGGAGCCAAGCAGTACCCAATCAAG